GAGGGTTAGCAGGAGGTGGGTGTTCAAAATGAGGGTCCCCCACCCTTTAGAGACCCACTGGGATCAAGAGACTCCTCTTTTCAGCCCCAGCTTAGCTATGCTCACTCTACAGCTGCAAGGGCAGTGGAGGCCACAAGGGCAGCGGGTCCTCTGTGCAAAGGGGCCGCCGGGGACAAGGTCAATGGGCCGGGCCAGTCCCGTGGAAAGCAGGGTCTGGGGAGCTTTCCCAGGGAAGCAGGGGGAGCCACCTGGGGGAACCTGGTGTCTGCCTTCCCCGCAACGAACCTTCTTGCCATAATTTCCTTAATTCATAATAATACCTTTCATTGAGGTGGTTGTGACCTTTGCTAGCATGGGGGAGTTTGATCCAGTAGATTATTCTCTTAAATAATTACCAGAGAGCTTAATACCTTCAAATCTCACGCCCAAACACGTGCCTCTCGGGGACAGAACACTGGTGTGTGGCTGCCACCACGCCTGACTGTGTACATGCAATGCAGGACGTGCGTGGTCAGAACTCTGCCCCTGTTCCCCTCGTGGCTGTCAGTGGGCACAGCGGTCACCCCTGGAACATTTGTCAGGTGCCCGCTAGGAGTCCAGAGGTGGAAAAGTCATGATCCCTGTTCTAAGGGGTTACGGTCTGGTCAACAGCATTAACTGAGCACCTATACTATGTGCTGGCACTGCACTAGGTACTAGGGCAAAGGCGACTAGGCACTGGCAGGATTATAGGCTAATGGGAAGAAAGACTCCCAAAGAGGTAATTTGTAAATCATGAGACAATCGGGGCAGGATGCAAGAGTAGCACTTCCCTAACCCGAGGCTTTGGGGAAGGATTTCTGAGCCAGGTGATGGCTGGGCTAAGTCTTGCAGGATGAGTCAGGTGATCCGAGTAAAGAAAGGTGGGAAGGACTCTCTAGGCAGAGGGGATAGGATAGGATAGGATAGGATAGGATAGGATAGGGTAGGGTAGGGTAGGGTAGGGTAGGGTAGGGTAGGATAGGGTAGGATAGCAGAATAAAACTCATGAACTACCATGGGGCGTTGGAAAGCTGCATGGTACTGTGCAGCATCATCAGAGCATGACGTTTCGGGCAGGGAGTATGGAGACAAGGCTGGAGAAGCTGCGCCAGGTCATGCTGGGCCTTATTTACCAGGCTTGACGGAGGGTGATGAGGAGCCATTGAAGGCTCTCGAGCAAGGGACTCTTGGAGGTGTTCATCTGAGGTGGGTGACTGCAGCGGCAGCGTGAGGATGGATGGAAGGCAGCGAGCCAGGAGGCGGGGAGAACAGTAGGAAAACAGTTGTAGTCAGAAGTGTAAGGGTCAGGACCTGAAGCAGAGGACGACAGCTGGGACCCAGAGGGAGACAACTCATTCGAGAAACATTTAGGACTTGAAATTGATGATGCTCGACAGAGGAAGGGAGGGGCGGGGCAAAGGGAGGGGCCTGCGATGACTGATGACCGTGGTTTTGGACTGGACTGAGTGAGCTGGGCAACAGAGAAGGGATGTGAGAGTTAATTCTGGCACATGTTGAGTTAGAGGGTCCCCTGGGGCCTCCAGGTAGAGATGCTCGGCAGGTAGGAGAAGGTCTGAAACTGAACCTGGGAGGAAGTAAGGCCTAGAGACATCAACCTGAGAGTCAGTGACCGGGATGTCTTCTAAGGAGAGGTGAGGGGGCTCGGGATGAGAAACTGAAGACCACCAACGCTCAGTGGGCACAGGAAGTAGAGGCAAAGGAGGAGCTGGAGTCGATGGCAGGACTGGGACAGAGAAGCCTCATGGTGTCACAGAGCGGAGGTTCAAGCAGCGTGCGGGGCGAGTGGGGGTGTCACAGAGGCCCCGTCTGTCCTGGTGCTGACTGGGGACATCTGATCCAGACAAGACTATGGCTTTGGCAGCATTTCAGCATAACTCATGTGGCTTTGCCCGGAAAGTGAGGAGGACATGCTGCCAGGTAGCCCCTGTACCCAAATGAGTCCAAGATGGGGCCAGGGTCCTCTGAGTCTAGGCTGAAGGAGGGCTCACGGGTGCATTGCGCGTGCACCGTCAGCAGAGACCATCAGAGAGCTATAATGTCTGTAGCAGACATGCGCGATAAAGCAGCAGTGAGGTCCAGCTGGCATGGATTTCAAGTTGTTATCCATTCTTTCTTCCTCCCTCCCTTCCTCCCTCCCTCCTCCTTTCCCTCCCTCTCTCCCTTCTTCCCTTCCTTCCATCCATCCCTGACTTTTTCCCTTCCTTCCTTCCTTTCCCCTGGATTCTTCATCTGTCTCATTCTGGCTCTTCCATCTGTAGAGAGCTCTTTGGAGCATTTAAGGTTTGGGGAAATCACCAGTGACTGATGTAGACATGTCAAAAGCAGCCGCTGGGTGGAGAAGGAGCAGGAACCCTCTTAGCAGTGGAGGGGATGGGGAAGCAGAGCATGGGGAAGGCCAGGGGGAAGGCCAGCGCGAGCGAGGCTCGGGGCGCTGTGCTCGGGATCTTGGTTTCCCACTGCCCCCAGTTCTCAAGCGGGTGCCTGAGTCAGACACACCAGACCTTGATGGCAGGGAAAACGATGCTTGGCAGCAGAATGAAAGTGTGCCTGGTGAGAAAATCTTATCTCCAAAGGCCTGGCATGCGGAGGCTCTTGGCACGGGCCACGCTGACACGTGAAACTTTACTGAGATACAAAAAAATAGGCCCAACTTTCTGACTCTCTCAACCTGTAAAGTCTGAGGCTTCGTGGGTCTTCAGAACCCATTCCCATCAACGGGACAGGAAGCTGGAAAAAGATACATTGCACAGTGGGAAAAAGGCTTAAACAGATGGCACCGTCAGGAGCACATTGTCTTCTGAGTGTGACACACGCTCCCTGTCCTCACCCCATTTCAACATTCAGCTCGAATGCCACTTCCACTTTTAAGTCTTCCTGGGTCTTTCTAGTTGCAATTCATTGCTCCTTGGATGTTCACAGCCAGCCAGGTCGGTGAACATCGGTTCCTGGTACCTGTCTGTTTCCCTCAGTGGGGTTGGGAGGCTCTGGCTTCTGGCCTCTGTTCATTGTTGTAGGGAGACTTGGCACCATGGCCACGTATCCGGGCTCTAGAATCAGACTGCCTGGGTTCAAGTCCTCATGTCACCTTGAACACCTAACC